CTTTCAAGGGACAAACTGCGTAAACTGGTAGGATTCCTTACGGGACATTACCAGTTTAACAAACATCTACATACGATAGGGGTAGTAACAGACCCAATCTGTCGTGGATGCAATGAAGAAGAGGAAACAGCTGAGCACATTCTTCGTGAGTGTCCAGCCCTAGCCTCCTACAGGGAATCCATACTAGGGGACATCTGGCCTAGTATGGCAAATATCAGGGAGTTTCCACCCTCTGCATTACTCAGGTACATTCAAGCAGTTGGATGGCTTGACGAGTAGAGGAGCGGGAAAACACCCTGATATGGACTTGGGGAAGGTACAATGGGCCCAAAGGCGAGGCCTAAGTGCCGGCTGGCTACGGTCAGCCCCCATAAATTAAGAATCCAGAATCCAGAAGAATGTCGTGTAAATGGCAAAACATTAACCAAAATTTTGCTAATCATCCCGATGAAAAATTTGATGACGTCATTTCAAGGAATTATATTTTAAAATGATTTAAATGTAAAACAACAATATACTTCTACAGTTGTGGTGTATGAATCCGCTTTGAGTTTTTTCCCTAAACATCCAAATTTTCTCAAAAAAATTTGCATATTATAATAGCATTACCATTAACTCAGGGTATAACCGTCCATTACGTGCCAGTACGCGCAGTATTGATCAAATTAAAAACGAGTCACACCATTTTCTCAAAACTGTGAGAATACGCACATATTTATTTAATAAAGATAAAATAACAATTGTAATAATAATATTCAGAATTTAATTAACAATTTTAGTTCCATGTTTTGAGGAGACAAATTCATTCAAATCAAACAAATTTCTACGTGACATTCTTTCGATCTAAAAACGTAAATGCTCGAAGTTAAGCATGTTAATATTGCTGAGAAGACATTTTTCTCGTTGATTGTGTGCTTTAAATACATTTAGATTCACAAAACAAAAATCGCACAATTAAATTTTGTAATTTTTTAGAAAACGGGATTTGTTGAACTTGTATTTCAAACGTGAGAAAAGTTCTGTCGAAATAAGCTTCGACCAATTTTCTGTTTTCACCGTGTCTGCTTAAAATTTTGCAAAATCAAGTTTTATTTCGCAAATAAGGGACGAGAGAAGTTCTATCGAAATTACTTTAGACCATTTGTTTTAAATAACCAGAGTATACATTTAGTTAAAAATATATGTAATGGATAACTTTAAATAATTGGGGTTTACATACTAAAATTTTGCAATTAAGCCCTCAACTTTTTAAAAAGAAAATGAAAAGTTGTTTAGCTGTTTACTGTCTTTACAATAATTTTAAAAGATGTCTAAAATTGCCAAGTAATTGTTTCGGTAGTTTCATAAATTATATGTCTATGAAAGCCGTCAGTAAGCAAGCTGCAGAAAGACAAACGAGAAACTTGCTTTTCGTGTTCAATGAACTGTGAAAACATGAAATTAGACATTCCACGGAGTAGCTATCTGTCAAATGTATGATGTTGCTGTGTGTTTATCTATGCTTGGAACTTCCGATAGACAAATGAAAACGAGAAATTTGCATTTTCGTATTCCAGGAACTGTGTTATCCAAGTAGACTTAGCAATAACTATTCGTTACGATTGTCACAAGATATTTCTTGATCTACCTAGTGACTATTAATGCTTTGTGAGTTTTTGTTAGGTTGGCACTATATTTAAAATTTTATGATGGCATATCTGATGTCAAATTCAAATTTTGAGGACCAACTTAGTAGCTGCCATCTTGTCGTTGGTTTTTGGGCGTACTTATGTCAAAATTGATAACTGTGACCTGCCATTGCTGCCAATAATTCAGAATTGCCAACCCAAAAATTTGTTTCAATCATTATCCCACAATCACACTATATAATTTTGAAAAAGACTAAAGGTTTTTATCTGCGTGTGCGAAGTAACAAAAAATTATACTAAGGGGAATTGATCTCATAAATTTTTTAATAATATTTTTAAAAATTACGCACCTTTGATTCTTGAATTGATTAAACTTCTGTCTTGTTAATTTTTATTCCACACAACATTTTCAAACTTCAAAAAAAAAAACAAAACATCTGTATAACAATTCTAAACTACCTTTTTAGAATCTCAATAGAATTAACGCCATTTGCTGAAATTTTTAACTAAAACAAGAAAAACATGCAGTAATTGTAATGTGAAGACCCATCAATTTTTTATACACATATACAGGGTGTTTCATATAAAACTCCGCAGTCTCGTATCCTGAAAACGAATGGAGATGTGACGTAAAACTACATTTTTGTAAACTGCAAATTAAATGTATATATTTTTTCATAAATTTTCACAGATAATTAAGTAATGATTACGATGGTATAAAATATTTAATTGTATACTTTATTTGCAGACGATAAAAAAATTAAGTTTATGAATATAAAAAAATTAAATTTGAGTGAAATAAAGTGGAATTAGTAATATTACAACAACAACAACAAATTTTCAACGACCAAATCTTCTTGTGTCACAACTAAAATAAATGTAATGGCGTTAAATCTAGACAGCGAGCTGGTCACCGAACAGGACCTGTGATGCCGACCCAATTCTCATAAAAACGGTTTCTCAGAATTAAAGAATTGGAGCATTTTCGACAGACATGAAAGAAATATTCTAGTAAACCCAGAATGTTGAAGCTAAATTTAACAGTAGTATAGTTTTGGAAATTTCATTCTACCCTATAAAATTTTATTGACGATAACGAGACGGACAGTAGTACAAAGGTAAGAAATATTTATGGCTCACACCAGTTCACTCCAACTTGTTTGAAAACATTTAGCAGGTAGTTATACTCATAAAATAATGGTCATTTTCGTTCATGAGTAACGATGGTCCCTATCCGGACCTGGATTATTCTGCTTTCTAACATCTGGAGATTACCGGCATGCGACAACTTAAGTTGTAAATATCTCTTGCTATTGTACTATTATCCGTCTCTTTATTGCCAATAAAATTTTATAGGGTAGAATGAAATTTCCAAAACTATACATAGTGTAATTGTGTGTTGCAGATCTGGTTCAATGACAATATATGGCAACTAAATATAACTCTTCTTTTGGATAATTTATATTTTAATTTTATCTCGGACACCTGTATACCTGCAACTATTGAAAATATTTTTTGCTAAATGTTTCACAGTCCACTATAATTTTTTAAAAGTCCGGGATTCTACCTGCTTCTGACACAGTGTCAGTTAGGGACTGTTTATACATAATGCAATAAAATGTTAATGAATACAGAAATAGCGTGCACCAGTATCTACAATTCAAAAGTAAATAAAACTGTTTTTAAATTTATAACTTTAGTTGAGGACATAGTAGGTATATTTAAATATGTAAATATAACTAAAACTAAAATTGAGCCTTTATAAATGTGTCAGTGATAAAAAATTACTTCAGTCATGAGGTGTACATAAAAGTGTTTCCAAAGCCGACAGAATTTACCCAAAATTTAAAAAACAGCCTTGGTTTGACTTTAGAATGATTGTGACATTATTACTTTTACTACCGCTATCAGAAAAAAAAAATGATTTCTGCTTTTCATAACAAATTATTTTGTTGCTAAATATTGCATTATCTATTGCATCATAGCGTTTATCGATTGACTATAAACATGTTTTATAATGCACAACAACGTTTTATTATCATCAAAACAAAATCCGTCATCCTTTGAAACCTTCAGATATTTGTTGAATTTCGAAATAAACTCATTTTTAAAATTGCCTATAATAGTTTTTTTTTCAAGGAAATGTCTTTCATTCCACCAGATTCCAATTCTAACAGATCAAAAAACTTTATTGTGAATATTCCAAAAAAATAGCTTACGTTATTTTTAAAAAATAATTTGTCATTCAAATTATCGAATTAACGAATGAGATGGAGGTGATTTTCTGAAAACAGTAACTACGAATCAACCTTAACAATAAATTTAGAAGAAAAAAAAAACCCAAATTATATTCAGCTATACCAACTGTTAAAAAAAATATTTTCAGTACCATTAAACTAACACACAATCCTGGCCTGTAACATGATATATGACATTTGGAATAGTCAATTTTAAAAATTTATTTTAAAAACTAAAGAGACTAGAGGGACCAAGGCACATTTTCAACCAATTTAAAGTGACAATTTTTTATATTTTTTGAAAAAACGTGTTCAAAACAAGGCAAATGACTTAACCTAAAAATGTTGGCAGTAACTAGCTCGAATACTATTTACTTAATTTTAAGCTCGTTTTTCCTGGAAAGTCAACAGGATTGGATAAGATAAGAAATTCTACCAATTTAAAAATTTTCGAACTGCATTGCGGCTGTTAAATAATCTGTCTATTAACTTGGTTTTTTTTTTTTTACAAAAATGTGCTCATAGTCTTTACAATTGTAATTAATTTTATTTGTAATTCCTTACATGCAAATTTCGTGAAATTGTCCACCGAGAAAAAATAAGTCGTTTCCAAGATGTCACATTTTTCCTTGTTTTTTTTTACGTAGATACATTTGTATTATTGGAGCGCATACTTTGCATGCATGTAAAGGGTAAAATTTGCATGAAATTAAAGAACTTCTTTACATTTCCACTGACCCAGTTGAACGAATACATAAGATTCGCCATCGTTGGTTCAGATGGATCGTGTTCGCAAATGCTGTAACAAGTTTAACACAATTAAACTTGTATCCTTGATAGTAAATTCGCCACCTATTCACACTCTCTGAGTGACAAATTCACACATCAAGATGACACCATCTTGAACAGAGCCTTAGCTTAAAACCCAAAAATCCGCAACGAGGACGATCTTCGCAACATCAAAAAAAACCTGCTCAAAGATTTACAACACAATCGCAACTTTCCCAAACATTATTAATTATTCTGTACAAATGTCGCATTTCTCTCCTCTCCTCGTATTGAAAGCTCTCTTAATTTCCCCCAACGCGGCGCTCTCGATTAAAAAAAACAAAGCATCGATAGGAGATGAATCTACCTTTCTCAGAATCCCGTTGGGTTCTCATAGGCTGAAGAACGAACCCCTCGGAAAGTGTCAACAGAGCGCAGTTTCTTCGGCAGTCGTGAATGAAGAAGTGATTGAAAACTATCACCAATAGGCATAACGGTATTTGGGAAGCACTGCCACTACAGGTAGAGAGATGCCGACTTTCGACGTCGCGACGCTGTGCATCATGTTCGGGTTCCGGCCGAATACTGCATCAGGGTTTGCCGGGACGCCAGGACGACAGCGCTCCCTGCGGATGTTTCCACAAGCTCCTGTGTGTGGGGATAGAGCAGCGGACACCGCCAGGATAATAGGGAATGATATTAGTAATTATTTTTCGTACAAGACGTGGTATTTTTCTTCATTCCGCCGGTTGCCGGGCGAATTTTTCAGAGGTCGCGGAGGGAGAGGTAATTTTTCGTAATTAGGGGTCGGGGAGATGCAACAGTTCGCGGAGGGTGTGAGGGAGCGAGCGGGATCAAAAAACATCCCGGTTAATGCGTCTAGTTTAAAGGGAATTCATAAATGCTGATAAAACTAGTTCCGAACAAAGTTTCGGTTTATCTTGTCGAGGATTGTTTCTAGATGGTATCTCTTGCATGCTTTGTCGTTATTTCAAACTGGGACTATGTGAATAGGCATTGTTTTAAAATGTTTGGGATTCCGGTCGGCTGATTAAAAATAACATCTGCTATTTCGTTTTAAATTAGATAGCACTTTGCGGCGAAAAATACTAACTGACTTTTTATTACACAAAGCAGGAGGAAGAGTTATAACCTAAAACGTCGGATAGACAAAAGATGACCATAACGTATAGACCCAACCATAAATATTAATTTTTATTTGTTCACCTAAAGTTATAATACCACTACATGTTGTGCTATGTAGAGTAAAAGTGTGACTTTGTGGATCCAAGCGCAAAAATCTACACAACGAGCGCAGTGAGTAAAACTGTCAAGTACAGGAGTAAATATCATTTACTACGGAAAATTTTGAAGGGACGTCATCAAATTGTTGTTGGAAACGATTAGACAAAGTTTTCAAAGATTTACTGTCTAGTATAAATCGGCACGACGGACAGACGAAAACGGGGACCCACTTTTTCGTATGCTAGGAGTCATGAAACGTCGAGATGGACCCTATTGTAATCCTTCCTTAGCTTCCTCTCGGGAGGTAAAAATAAAAACCAATAAAAACTCAGTCTGTTACGAAAACGCGCATTTTAAAACTTCCAGTTAAACTCGACCTAAATCAAAAAGTCAAAGTTGTTGAAAACGGTAAAAGTTCGAAACAAACAATTTTCACCAAAATAACTGATTCTGAAACTTCCAGTGTTAACGAAAGTAAGTCAAGAACGATAAGATTCGCACAAAAGAGTCGCTAAAGTTATTTTCACAGAATTATTTTACTAATTAACCGCCGGTGATCACAACTTTACACCCTTCACATAAATTTAGGAAAATTTAAGCAACCGTTTCTAAGATAATCTGAAACTAAATTGCTTCATGCATTAATTATTATTATGATAATCATCGTGTTTGCGCCTCTGTAAACAAAAACGGAAAAACCAAACCTTCTCAGAATAAATAAATTTTTGATGATGTGTTTTAGTCCTGGGACCTGGAATGAGGGTTAGGATTTTATCTTGATTTCTAAGAAAATAATATTGATAACTTTCTGAAATTTTCTTAAAAATATATTCGTATTTAATCGAAGTATCATCTGCTCAATGAACAAAATAGATTTTTATGTAATCAAATCAATATATCTTTTGAACCGTTCAATCAAGAGATTAATTTTTCTCCTTCATCTATTAATTTATAACAAACAAAAAGTTATTTTGAAGGCCAGTCAGTATTCCAGTAATATACAGGGTGTTAAAGAATGCCCACCAATTCTATAATACGTTGTTCAGGGCTGTTTATAGAGCAGAGAAAAAATAAAAAATTTCTTTTGTCCAAATGTAGAAAATACAGCCCTTCAAACTTTAATTTTTCTTCCGAACTTTGACCATATTTTACTTCAGATTTTGTTTTTAATGTGTATTAAAACATCCTGAATATTCCTGTTTCACTCATTTCTGTTTGATCCGAATTTTACTGGGGACTGGTGTACCACGGTTACTGGCACCTCTGGAAAATTCCCGATTTCCAGATAATTCCATCCATCTCTGACCTTTACCTTTTATTATAAAACCTACACTGATATCAGTCGAAATTCTAACAAACTGGAGTTGACTAGAAATACTTTGACGTGATAAACGTATTTAGTTTTTGAAGTAAGTAGTTCGAAAGAATTTCAGGGATCGCTTTCTTCTTTTTGCAGTGAAAGAATCTCGGGGACCTTTTGTGTCTGGTTTTTGAAGTAATTTGAAAGAGTCTCGAAGACCCTTTGTGTCTGTTTTGTTTATGAAGTAGTTTGAAAGAATCTCAAGAACCCCTTGTATTTTGTTTTTGAAGTAGTGTGAGAGAATGTCAGGAATTCCTTCCCATGGTTTTTAACTAATTTGAAAGAATCTCGAGGATCCCTTGTCTTTTTTTGAAGTAGTTTGAAAGAATCTTGCGGACCCCTTGTTTTTAGTTTGGAAAAATTTCGGGAATGACTTTCTCGTTTTTGAAGTAATTTGAAAGAATCTCGGGAATTTCTTGTCTCATTTTTGTAGTAATTTAAAAGAATTTAGGAAATTCCTTGTCACGTTTTTTAAATAATTTGGAAGGATGTCAAGGATCCCTTGTCTTTTTTTAAATTAATTTGAAAGAATGTCGGGAACCCCTTGTGATTTTGTTAAGTAGTTTGAAAGAATCTCAGAAATTCCTTGGCACGTTTTTTAAGTAATTTGGAAGAATCTTAAAAATCCCTTGTCTTTTTTTAAATTAATTTTAAAGGATCTCGGGAATTCTTGTTTCTGAAGTAATTTGAAAGTATCTCGGAAATTCCTTGTCATGCTTTGTAAGTACATAATTTGAAAGAATCTCGAAGATTTCTTGTCTTTTTTTGAAGTAATTTGAAAGAATCTCGGGATCCGAGTTTAGGGAATTCCTTGCCTTGTTTCTGAAGTAATTTAAAAGAATTTCGAGAATTCCTTGTTTTGCTTGTGAAGTACTTTGAAAAAATCTGGGGCACCCCTTCTTTTTTTTGGAGTCTCGGGAACCCCTTGTGTGTTTTTTTTTTAAGTAGTTTGAAAGAATCTCGGGAATTCTTTGTCTTCTTTTTGAAATAATTTGAAAGAATCTCGAGAATTCCTTGTCATGTTTTTGAAGTAGTTTGAAAACATCTAGAGGACCCCTTGTGTTTCATTTATAAAGTAGTTTGAAAGAATCTCAACCTTGTGCTTTGTTTTTGAAGTGGTTAAAGGGAATTTCGGGGATCTCTTGTTTTATTTTTGAAGTAATTTGAAAGGATCTCGAAAACCACTTGGATTTCGTTTTTCAAAATAGTTTGAAAGTATCTCAGGAATCCCCTGACTGTGGTTTTTGAAGTAATTTGAAAGAATCTCGAGGACTACTCGTCTTTTCTTTTGGAAGTAGTTTGAAAGAATCTTGGGAATTCCGTATCTTGTTTTTGAAGTAATTTAAATGAAATTCGAGAATTTCTTGTCTTGCTTTTGAAGTAGTTTCAAACAATCTCGGGGATCCATTGTCTTTTTTTGAAGTAATTTGGAAGAATCTCGGGAACCCCTTATGACTTTTTTAAGTTGTTTGAAAGAATCTCGGAAATTCCTTATCATGTACATAATTTGAAAGAATCTGGAAGATCCCTTGTCTTTTTTGAAGTAATTTGATAGAATCTTGGGATCCGTGTCTTGTTTTGGAAATAATTTGAAAGAATGTCGTGAACCTTTTGTGTTTTTTTTAAGTAGTTTTAAGGAGTCTCCGGAATTCTTTATTTGCTTTTTGAAGTAACTTGCAAGAATCTTGGAAACCCCTTGTGTTTTTTTAAAGATGTTTGAAAGAATCTAATTTCAGGGAATTTCGAGAATTTCTAGTCTTATTGTTGAAGTGGTTTGAAAGAATCTCTGGCATCTCTTGTCTTTTTTTGAAGTAATTTGAAAGAATCTCGGGATCCCGTGTTTAGTTTTTGAAATAATCTCTAAGAATGTCGTGAACCCCATGTGTTTTTTTTTTGAAGGAATTTGAAAGAGTCTAGGGAATTCCTTGTCTTGCTTTTGAAATACTTTGAAAGAATCTCGGGCATCCCTTCTTTTTTTTTGAAGTCTCGGGAACCTCTTGTGTGTTTTTTTTTAAGTAATTTAAAAGAATCTCGGAAATCCTTTGTCTGCTTTTTGAAATAATTTGAAAGAATCTCGAGAATTCCTTGTCATGTTTTTGAAGTAGTTTGAAAACATCTAGAGGACCCCTTATGTTTTATTTATAAAGTAGTTTGAAAGAACCTCAACCTTGTGTTTTGTTTTTGCAGCAGTTTGAGGGAATTTCGGGGATCCCCTGTTTTGTTTTTGAAGTAATTTGAAAGGATGTCGAAAACCACTTGATTTTGATTTTCAAAATAGTTTGAAAGTATCTCGGGAATCCCATGTTTCTGGTTTTTGAAGTAATTTGAAAGAATCTCGGGGACTCCTCGTCTTTTCTTTTTGAACTAGTTTGAAAGAATCTTGGGAATTTCTTATCTTGTTTTTGAAGTAATTTAAATGAATTTCGGGAATTCTTTGTCTTGAAGTAGTTTCAAACAATCTCGGGGATCCATTGGTTTTTCTGTGAAGTAATTTGAAAGAATCTAGGGAACCCCTTGTGATTTTTTTTAAGTAGTTTGAAAGAATCTCGGGAATTCCTTGTTTTATTTTTGAAGTAATTTGAAAGAATCTCGAGAATTCCTTCCCATGGTTTTTAACTAATTTGAAAGAATCTCGAGGATCCTTTGTCTTCTTTTGAAGTAGTTTGAAAGAATCTTGCGGACCCCTTGATTTTAGTTTGGAAAAATTTCGGGAATTACTTTCTCGTTTTTGAAGTAATTTGAAAGAATCTCGAGGACCCATTGTCTTTTCTTTTTGAAGGAGTTTGAAAGAATCTCGGGAATTCCTTGTCTCGTTTTTGAAGTAATTTGAAAGAATCTAGGAAATTCCTTGCCACGTTTTTTAAGTAATTTGGAAGAATCTCAAGGATCCTTTGTCTTTTTTTAAATTAATTTGAAAGAATCTCGGGAACCCCTTATGATTTTGTTAAGTTGTTTGAAAGAATCT